ATAAATAAACAAAAATTTCCTGTTTCTCCATCCCTTTAAAAAGCTAAGCGCATACTAACACCAAATCATCGCTAAAAACCCATTTTCAGTCAAGGGTCAGTGAATCGAAGATGAACCATACTTGTTTAGTAAATAATCACATTAATTTTATGAAGAAAATGAAATAAAGTAGAAATGAAACATGAAAATAAGATTAAATGAAAATTTGGTTTATTTTTTAGAAAAACGTATCTCGAGATTTTTGTATATTCAGCATCAGTATAGTGGATTGCGCAGCACAGCATGGCACCTATATATGTATATAGAATGTTATTGCTCTTTAATCCTTTCCAATTTTTTGCTCCTAGAAAGCAAGGAGCAAAAAATTATTTTCCTCCATATTTATTATGTAGGTATGATGGTCAATAAGAAACATTGTTGCGTTGGTTTCACATACCTTGGTGATAAAGAATTTTTCGGTGTTGCCATTTGGCAACATCCGGTCACAAGGGGTAAAAATGGTATGGAGTTCATTTTTCTGTCTTCATGAAACACATGTGTCACTTTCCACTATGCTCATTTATTTATAAAACGTAAACAAGAAAAAGTCTACAAATATGTATAAGTGCCGCAGATAGCAATTGTTTTTATCATTCATACAAAGACGTACTTTGCATTTTGAGCATGTTATTCTGGTATATCCAGAGCAACCTGGATTTCAGCAACGGCCTTTTCCCGTATGAATAGGCCAATGATCATACTTGTCGAAACGAGAATTTGTTGATGGAGCTGGACCAGGTGCAGTTCTAGGTGGAATTGCTGCAAGATTTTCTTTATCTATTGAATGTAATGATGGACGGTCACGTTTCTGTGATGACAGAGGCTGTGGATTCGATTTCAATAAATCTTCAGCTACACTAATACGAAATGATAGTAAAGACATAATGTCCTTTTTTTGGAATCTTAAATTGTGAACAATGCCGTCGATACAGGAGCCAAGCATTGACTAATGATAAATCAATCAGGTGAAATATTATCTTGACATAATATTTTTGCGAACGTATATTTATCCGATACAAAGACATCAACATGTCGATCAGGTCGACACCACCCATGTGTTGATTTTAAGATTTGACAACATCTGGTTGTGTGATCTGTATATATTTCTTTTCGTTCGGCGACCATCGTTGGACTAAATTGATCGGATGGCAACCATGTAGTGTTGACAAACAATTAACAACATTATTATCACACCACCGGGTGATACATAATTGAACTCCATCAACTTCGATTACTCGGTGGTCCATAGCTCCTCGATCTTCTTTTGATAATTCACTTCATTTTTCATAACTAAACCAGCGAATCGATTAGATCTAATCGTACCAACAGCACGAATTCCTAATTTATACAATTCAACTTGTAATTGGATCGTGGTGTAATAGTTATCGAAATACATCGATTCGCTGGTTTAGTTATGAAAAATGAAGTGAATTATCAAAAGAAGATCGAGGAGCTATGGACCACCGAGTAATCGAAGTTGATGGAGTTCAATTATGTATCACCCGGTGGTATGATAATAATGTTGTTAATTGTTTGTCAACACTACATGGTTGCCATCCGATCAATTTAGTCCAACGATGGTCGCCGAACGAAAAGAAATATATACAGATCACACAACCAGATGTTGTCAAATCTTTTTTTCGTGCTTGGGTATACCAAACGATAGACAATTTAATTTTCTACAAGATTGTATATTCACTTTTAAGGTTTATCTTTGATGTTTGGCACAGTAAGTCTAACAGAAAAAGCTCCAAATTTCTAATTGCACCTTCAAAAAATCGATTTTTTGCGCCGAACCTCGCTAAAAATCACTTATTCAACAAAACAAGGTATACCGAAAAATTCAGCAACAAATTTTCTACTATATGATGTTTATTTTTATGACATACAATGATTTTTTTAGATGAAATCAGAGTGAAAAGAGTCTTTAAGAAAACTCATTTTCTCCTATGTTTCGGCCATCTTAGCGACAACAAGTATTCTCTAGTTTTTCAGGTAAAAGAAGTTGCAGATTTATTTGTAAGTTACACAATCTAATAGAGCGCATTGTTCTGGTCTATACACTAATGATCTGAACTTTGGATTTTATACTGGAATAGTCAAAACTTTTTTTTTAGTGCTAGAAAGTTCGGTGGACTTGGAAGTTTATGTATCAAAGCCACTAGCAATTGAAATAAATTTCCTTCAAATAAATGCATTTGTAAAGCATGAAATTCTTCACCATTTGACTGTAATAAAATTATTTCAAATTTTTTTGTACTCATTATAAGCAATTAAAAAAAGAGAGTACTTTGCACTATAAAACTGCGTGAAGGTGCAGTTACATTTGGAGCTTTTCCTGTCAAACTTACTGTGCCAAACACCAAAGATGAATCTTACAAATGAATATACAATCTTGTAGAAATTAAATTGTCTATCGTTTGGTATAGTAAGGAATTTCTTTTTCTGAAACGATTTGTAGATTCATCGTTCTAGAAATCGTTTCAGAACTTGTGGGACACCCTTTATAGATATTTTTTTAGTCCTTTGAGATCCGCCCCACAATACCTGGAAACATTGTCGCAAAATCGACTTTTTATACGCTGAACAGAATCGATCCAAATTTTTTTCCGAATAGCTTATTGAATGAATGTACGGGCAGCTAAGTATCTCTTTATTCATATCACTTTTCGCATTTTGGCGTGAACAGTGACGTCATTTTAAACGCGCCACTGTTCGCGCCAAAAATACGAAAAGTGATTTGAATAAAGAGATACTTAGCTGCCCGTACATTCATTCAATAAGCTATTCAGAAAAAAAATTGCGATTGATTCTGTTCAGCGTATAAAAGGTCGATTTTGCGATAATGATACGACTGCTATTATGGCCTTTTGACTAACCGCTAGTCGAAAACGGACTTTCAGTCAGGGGTAGTGGCGGCGCCAAGGGTGGGCTGGGGTGGGCTAAGCCCATCCTGGAATTGTTTGAGCCCACCCTGGAGTTTTTTTTCAGATCTTAGAAAAAAATGATATTTTATTCGAGTGATGTCGCAACATACTACGGCTAGTTCACCATTAAGATCTTTTCTTATTTTCTATTGGTTCATTATTAATACCCACACCAAAAAT